TTCAGGGTCTGGCATATTTCCAGAGTCTTGAACTTCAGAATTTCTAGCTTCAGAGGCTTGACTTCCTCCAGAGCCTTGGCCACCTTCAGAGTCTGAATTGCCACCAGAATCTAGATTACCATCAGAGCCTGGGTCATCAGAGTCACCTTCATCTTCTGAGTCTTCTCCAGAGTCAGAATCACTATCAGAGTCAGAATCAACATCAGAGTTTACTCCAACTTCAGAAATTCTTAACTCTGACCTTTCTTCAGAAGTTCTAACATCAGAATCAGATTGAGACTTATCCCAATTCCAAACTTCTGATTCCTTCACAATCACATCTCTGCTGAATTCAATTTTATTGGTTTCTGGACAATAGAGCTTGTATGCACCTGTACTGTGGTACCCTATCAGAATCATCACTTTGTTTCTATCATCCAGCTTCTGTCTTCTGGCTTCTGGAACATGTTTATAGCAAACAGAACCAAACACCTTCAGATGACTAACACTTTGCTTATCTCCAGTCCACTTCTGTATTGGAACTATTTCCTTCAACTTCTTAGTAGGACATATGTTGAGTACATACGTTGCAGTGGCAACAACTTCTCCCCAGAGCTTCTGAGGAAGCTTCTTCTCCTTTAGCATGCTTCTCACCATATCAAGCAAAGTGCGGTTTCTTCTTTCAGCAAGACCATTGTGTTGAGGGGTATAAGGAGCAGTAACCTCATGCTCAATTCCATTCTCCTCACAGAACTTCTGGAACTCTTTGGAGTTATACTCACCTCCACCATCAGTTCTAAGAATCTTCAACTTCTGACCACTCTGATTCTCAACCTTCATTCTGAACGTCTTGAATTCATCAAACACCTCATGTTTAAACTTAATAAGGGATACCCATTTCATTCTTGTGAATTCATCAACAAACAACACAAAGTATTTATTCCCTCCAATTGATGCTACTGGAAATGGACCACACACATCAGAATGTACAACTCCTAAGGCATGTTTTGCTCTTGGAGCAGTTTCTGACGCAAATGGCAATCTTGGTTGTTTTCCTTCCATGCAAACTTTGCATGACTTTTCAGGCTTCTTAATTGCAGGAATTCCATGTACCAACTTCTTTGAATTCATATGTTTTAAGCTTCTGAAATTCAAATGACCAAATCTTCTGTGCCACAACTCACTCTCCTTCTCAGCACTTGTTGCACTAAGACATTCTGAGTCTGCAGTTATAACATTCACCTTGAATGTTCTATTCCTTCCCTGTTCTGACTCCATAATCAACTTCTGATTGCAGTCATACAGCTTCAGAAGATTGTCCTTCATGGTAACTAAAAAACCTTTCTCAATTAATTGTCCCACACTCATCAGATAGCTTCTGATGCCAGGTACATACCACATGTTCTGAATCAATGTTGTTTTCCCATTGTTCAGAATCACTCTGACATTTCCCATACCTTCTGCATTAAGATATTTGTCATCAGCACATTTGATCTTTGTTTTCTTTTCAGAGTCAAAGTCAACAAACCATTTCTTGTTTCCAGTAAGATGATTTGAACAACCAGTGTCCATATACCACCAATCTATCAGATCCATATTATCAAATTCAGAGGCCATCAATAACACAGATTCCTCATCAGAACTTCTGGCTATATTTGCTTCTTCTGATTTTCTCTCCTTGTTTGACCAACAATCTCTAGCAAAGTGACCAAACTTCTTACAACAGTAACATTGGATCTTCTTCTTGCCATACTTCTCTTTTCCCTTCTGAGCATTCTTTTGTCTATCAGAGGTTGAGCTTTCTGACTTCTGACCACCATCAGATCTTCTCCTGGCTTCTGACTGCTTCTGATACCTCCTATCAGAAGTTTCTTTCAGAGCCTGCTGCTCCACTTCCTTTTCAGAGGTTCTCTCAGTCAAACGCAACTCTTGCGCTTCTAGACTGTTCTGCAGCTCTTCAATTCTCATGGTGCTCAGATCTTTGGAATGTTCTATTGCTACCACAATATAGTCAAATTGAGGGGTAAGGGATCTCAATACTTTCTCCATGATTGCTTCTTCAGAAAGAGTTTCTCCACACGCCTTCATCTCATTAGTGATCAGAATCATTCTGGAGATGTATTCAGAGACTTTCTCATTATTCTTCATGTTGAAATTCTCATATTGCTTTCTCAAGGACTGAAGCTTTACCTTCTTCAATGATGCGTCACCACCATAACATCTCACCAGTGTGTCCCACGCAACCTTTGCTGTTGTTGAATCTGCAATCTTCTCAAACCATTTACATCCACACATTGATGAATGAAGAACAATGCTTTCTGATCCTTCTTCCTTACTTCCTTCTGCGCGTTTTTCTGTTCATCTGTTGCATTTGCTGCTACTGGAACATAACCATCAGTGACAAGATTTAGAACATCTTGAGCACCAAACAGCACACGCATTTGGATCATCCAACGGTTCCAGTTTTTACCGTCAAATACTGGAAGTTTGGTGTTCATGTTGCCGTTTCCGTTCATCTTCTACCTTGCACAGTACACTCAGATTTCTCACACAGTGTTTCCCAACCCACAGAATTAAAATTCTGATCAGATTTTGTTCAAGATTCAACAAGAATCTAAGAATCAAAATCAAACACACAAGACCTCACGTTCACTCGTGTTTCCCGTGTTTTCCAATGAATCAGAACCGGAGCTCTAGATACCAATTGTTGGTGCAAAGGTAGAATAAATGATGAAAAGAGAAATATTCTATTAAGAGAATGACGGCTACACACTACTACAAAATTGCAATGATTGATACCCTATTAGGGTTACTAGAATAAGATAAAAATACTAAAATACCCTCTAACAAACTTATAAGTTAAAAAAATAGTACAACTAATAAATATGAATTACTTTTAATATTGGCCTCTCACAAACCATAAATCATATTTTCACAAGTGTTTTATTAAGTTTCTACAAATATCGAATAAACTCTTCTTTAACTGTTTTTAAGTACTATTAACTCTTTTATTCCAATGGAGGAAAATAGCTATTCTTTTTATTTATTGTTATAAAATAGATTTATTACAATGTTTGAGAATCAATATTATTATATTAGAATTAAAAGAATTAATGTATATCACCGTAAGTATTACTCAACAATTATGAGAAATCATACATCATTATTATGTTAACAGAACCTTACCAATTTGTTGTGGCCAGTTAATTAGGGTCACATATAATTGTCCAGATCGCATTTGAACTATTATAAGAAGATTCGGAGAAAGATTGCGTTTGGATAAGAATGTGACTTAGAAAACACATGTAAAACGTTGTGGGAAGATTACGTTTGGATAAGAATGGAAAATCTAATATGAATGTGAATAGGGATAGAAATAGTTTGAAGAACTTATTCTGTTTTAAGATTTGGTTTTTGTCTTTTGTTTTTAATGCCAAGAATCTGTAGATTATTTGTTTCTATTTAAGATATTTGGAGGGTTATTGGAATCTGTAGATTATTTGTTTCTATTTAAGATATTTATAATTATTTGTTAGATTTTAAAGTGAAAATAACAATAATTTAATTTATTCATAATATCCTTTATAGAAAGAGGTAAATATCTCTCTCTCATATTTAGGCAAATCAAAATTATAAAAATAAAAATAAAATTCAATAATCAAGTTAAATCTTTTGTTTTTTACTATCCATACAATTTATTATCCTATTTTAAAAACTATTATTTTTTATTATGAATTTAATTGATATGTATTAACAACGTAAAAAAAATATACGGTCAATCAATCACTATCCTATATCCCGCCACATCAGATTGTAAATTTTAAGTTAATGATATATCATAACAGATCCATAAATTTCTATTAGATAACAGTGTAAAATAGTGCATATCAATTAAACTCTTCTATTATAACAAAAATAATATTTATGAATTGAAAAAACAAATCTAATATCACAAGAGGACATAATTTTCTCCTCTGGTCCCCTTCTCTTCCACTTTCATTAAAGGTTTGTTTGGTTGAGAAATTTTGAAGGGAATAGGAGAAAATATCTTAAAATATGTATGTTTGGTTTAATTTTTTATAAGAGGAGGGGAGAAGATTGAAGATAATTAGAATTCTTTCTTGAATATTTTTTCATTCCCTCTAACTTGCGGATTTTGAGATGGGAGGGAAGGAAGAGGAGTTATGATAAAATATATTATTATTATATTGATAAAATTATCTTCACTTATTTTATTAAAATTTTAAATTGCCTTTATAAATATTTGCATCCAAACAGACACTCCCACATTCACGCATGCGCGGTAAAATATAAACGGATATTTTTTATTTAATTTAAACTATTTGGGTAATAATATCTCTCTTATATTAAATATGTAAACATAAAATCAAATATATCATCAAAGTTCAGTCTATTTTTTTCCGGACGACGTAGGTCGCTATCCGAATAGAATCGGAAAAAAAAGCATGTTTACCTTGCTATATTAATATAAGTAAAGTAACTGTTTTCATCAAATAATAAGAGTGATTGGTTCATCTTTTGAATTCAAGTATAAATGAATACATATTTTGATAAGTAAAATTTAATAAATTACTTATCATCATTTAGAAATAGTAGATTATAGAGTCCTTGCTCAATAGAGTTTTGATGAGAGTTAAAAGAAAAAGCAAATTGTTAAGTATTAACAAGTGTGAGTAGGGTGGATAATAGTCTCACATTGGATAGAAATGTGGTGACTTGAGCATTTATAAGTGAGAGAACCCATACACCTATCACTTTAAGGTTTTGGGTGAGTATGTGGTGTATCTCTCACAAATGTTGTTCTAGAAAAAAGTCTCACCATGTTCAATGCTCCCTAGTTGAAAGGCCAGATCATTTTATAGATGAGTCCAAAATTTATGTAAAATGTGATGATTGCAATTGAATAAGAAACAAAATTGCTTTTACTCGAGAGTGTATAAAATGAGGAAGCTATCCCTTCTCATACCACCGTATCTTTAGCTTTCAAAAGTTCAGCAAAGATGAATGTGCTGACTATGTTCCCCTCTCCCAAAACTTCACTCAAAATGCATGCAGCAATACCCTTTCCCTCTCCCAAAACTACTAACAAAATGCATGCAACCATGCTCTTCCCCTCTCCCAATACTACACTCAAAATGTCTCATTATAAATACCAAACGCGCGCCACAAAAGTTAACAGAACCATAACCGCTCAAATGCACCCCAAACAACTTAACAGAACCAAAACCACTCAAACGCGCGCCATAGAACTTAACAGAACCGATACTGAAACAGAAATCGACGAAACTGACCTCGAAGACGAAACCGTATTGGGAAAAAACGATGCCATTCAAATTGAGAAGGAGTTTCGAGATGCGTTTATGAAAATGCTCGGTGAGAGACGAGCTCCTCAAAAAGGTACAACATTCAATTCCGCTATCTAGATTGTTATGTATTGATTGTGCATGGATCCTCTGTTTTTATTTCTAGAAATGAAATTTGTTTGTTGATTATTTTCAGATCCGGTTACGGTTGAAATAGCTAAACCAGCGCCGAATCCTTGCTATCCGAATCCAGACGAAGAGGTTCAAGTTCCGATACTCATTAGATTGATTATCTTCTTCATCTGCTTGTTCAAATTCATTCAATCTACTAACAACTTTATAACAGGAGATTATGAACGCTTGTCCAAGGAAAGACATTCCGAATTTCAAAGATTTGCTCGTGGAGGAGAATCTGTATTTAAATATAGAGGTAAGTATAATTAACGAAATAATTCCATTTCTCTGGATTTGAATTTTGATTCGATATTCTTTTTATTTGGAATTGATTTTCAGGTCTAGAGATTAATTTTGTTGAAATAATCCTTCATTTTGTAGGAAGGAGATCAAGGAAAGTTGCCTTTGTTGATTTTGAGCTTGAAGGAAACTGATAAACAGAAAAAAAGACCTGCGGTTGTTTTCAATCACGGTTCAGACACGTCTAAAGAATATATGCGTCCATTGCTAGAGGTTGCTAATGCTTTTTCTCTGTTCTACTCCTATGAAATATAATTTATGATTCATTATAATAATGGATTTTATATGTTGGTATTTCAGGCATATGCTTCACGGGGATATATAGCAATTTCGGTTGATGCTCGTTACCATGGTGAACGAGCGAAGAACAAAGATACCTATATAGAGGTATGTGTTTTCCTTGCTTTACTCTCGTTTTGCTCTAGTTGACACACATGCACACAGACACTAGCTATGACGCATATTGCATCATGTAAGATGCTTGCACAAAATGAATAAAAAGTTCTATAATTAAGTATTTGAATCATTTATAGTCTTTATCTATCTTTTTTATAGTTTTATAATTAACTTTCCGATAAGTAATTTATTTAACTTTTTTTTTGGTGTTTATAACGTTTTTATGGTGATCCCATCTTTACATAAGATAGAAATTAATTATTTTTCACAAATTTACTACTACTCAAGATACTTCTTAAACAAAAACATAAGTAATCTGTGTAAAAATTCTAAACTGATCATTTGTTTTTTGCTTTTGTGTTGGTTACTTCCTCTGGGTTAAAAAACAGTCTCTTGTTTCTGCATGGAAAACCGGAGCCACAATGCCATTCATATTTGACACGGTAAATTTCTTATTTAACTAAACCATTTTAAACCCCCCAAAATTATTTGGCTGACCTGTATGTGATTGAAACGGCATACTAACTAATCCTTGATCTGGCAGGTTTGGGACTTGATTAAATTGGCAGAATATCTAAAAAACCATAGACAAGATATAGACTCCTCTAGGATAGGAATCACAGGAATATCACTTGGAGGTTGGTTGAGAGAAGTTGAGAGGAATATGTTAGATACTAGGTTTGTTGTGACTCATCACTTGCATAATTTTTTGGTTCAGGAATGCATTCATGGTTTGCTGCAGCTGTTGATCCTACCTATTCAGTAGTTGTTCCTATAATTGGTGTTCAGGTGACATTGTATTATTGATTGAAGCTTATCTTTAACAAGGTGTGCTTCTGAAACAACAACTAAAACACTTTGAATCATATACTTGCAGGGATTTCGATGGGCCATAGAGAACGATAAGTGGCAAGGCCGAGTTGAGAGTATAAAAAAAGTTTTTGAAGGTATGATAATGCATTATTTATGAAATATCTTTTTAAGTTTTTGCTTTACTTTAATTATTGCTCGTTACTTCATTAAGTACTATATATTTGTAATGAAAGTCACTAATTGATATAATTCTAGTAATCATATATATATATATCTTGGTGAAATATAATATGAATGAGTCATATGGATAAGCTTACAATCAATGAACGACTGTATTTTGAATGTGCTTTGAAAATTAATTATATCATTATTCTCTTGTGCCTTGAAAATGCAGTGGCTAGTGAAGATTTGGGTAAAAGTGAAATTGACAAAGAAGTAGTGGAGAAGGTTAGCAATATTTATAATTTCAACTATAAATGTCTTAAGACTTCAACTGAATAGATATATTACTTTAATATGTTTACTACTCTAACAGAGCATCCATGACAATGGTTGGTACCATATATGACAATAGAGTTTATATTTTTGATTCAGGTGTGGGACAGGATTGCTCCTGGTTTAACCTCCATTTTTGATTCGCCCTACTCAATTCCATCTATTGCACCCCGTCCTCTGTTTATTCTCAATGGTAAGATTCTTGTATTTATTATTTATTAACACTTTCACATTGTTGTTGCTACAATATTCATATGCAAATGGATGCATTGGGCATGCATGTATATAAGTTTTGCACTTGTTCAATTTTAGTGCATGATGCATTTTGGGTGAGAAAGGAACGAGAGAAAATGAAAAGTCATTGTATTATTATTTGAATTACACTATGCATATGTATATATACAAGTCGGTTAGTTGTAATCCAAATAACTATAACAAACTATCTAACTAACTAATTTGAATTATATCACAGCACTTATTACACCAGTATCTCTATTAATCGGTTTAGATATTTATTGGGATTTTGATTTTAACTTGAAATATTAACTTGGATGTTTCTAACTCTAGGTGAGGAAGATCCCAGGTGTCCCCGTGCCGGTGTGAGAAAACTAATGAGAAATCTAAAGCGGATGTATATAGCGTTTGGACACGAGAAATTTAAGGTATGAAATCACATTTTCTTGTCACTATTTAACAGTTAGTTCGAACTTGTCATTTCCATTTCCAATGTTGTATATTTAATTTTAAACCACTTCTTATACCAATGTTGTATTATTTAATTTTTAACCACTCCTAATATAATAGAAATATAATAATGAAGTGTTTCGAGCTAAAGTTTTGTTTATTGCTTTGACGTGCAGTATTATCAAGAACCTGAAACCGTGCATCAAATAACAAAATTACAGATGAGAAAGTCGGCTGATTGGTTTGACCATTTTCTAAAGCCTTAGCAGCTTGAGCCTAAATTGTAAAATGATAAACCAGCTATATCTGGCTCATTGCAGTTGCTTTTATATGTGTATCTTGTTAGAATTTTCTACTTAATATAGTATCATGTTATGGTGAAGAGTTATTCTATAACAAATGTCTCATGAAATAATTTGTATGCTTGCATCTCGCCATAATAAGAATAGAGGTTAAAAGATCCCAACATTTTTGTGAGATTAGACGCATGAAAGCACATAGTTGTGAGATGCCCTAACGGGGTATGTATGTTGCAACCGTAACACATGATCATGATCATCTTGCAATTGAATTAAAAAACAACCTAACCCTAAGCATCCACAAATAAGATCTAGAACTACTCAATTCAAAACACAAAAATTGCATCCATTAAATAAAAGATGATGATGAGAAGTAACGAACCTGCATGTTTGATAGGCACAAGTTGAGAAAATCGTAAACAGATCGAACCGAGAAAGTGTTGATTGGGAATTGTGTTGGGTCAATAATGGATCGGAAAGGATGAAACTCTGTATATTGTGGTGTGGACCCACGTACAAGACGATGCCACGAACTCTTATTTTTTCTTATCTTTTTGTATTCCAATCCTCTCCTTCTGTGATTCCTATTGCATTATCAAATCTAGTTGGATTAATCTAATTGTCTAAAAAACAATTATTTATACCACACATTTTTAAAATATTTCTTTCTATATAATGTTTGATGTCGAATGAATAATTGATTATTTTTAATAGATGACATAAGAAAGAGTTAGTTATATTAGCAAGAGTTAGTTCCATTCTATTTTAGTTAGTTACATTCTGTTTTAGAGTTTGTTAACTTTCCACTAACTATATAGATGATGTAATCCTCATTTAATGAATAAGAGAATACTGCACCATACTTTATCTTCTTTCTCTTCTCTTCAAGCTTCCTTGTCACTCTTCAATGGCTTCCATATGTGAAGCATAATATGGTATCATCGTCTTCGATCCGTTTTCCACACTTCCGCACCATTGTTTTCTCTTTTACTCGTGTGATTTTTCTACTAGTGTTATCCTTTCTTTGATTTTAGCATGCCTCCGCGCAATGATCCTACTGCAAATCGAATCACTAATTGTGATGTTGATTTGGTTTACTACGTTCATCCTAGCGAAGGTCCCAATTCTGTTAGTATTCAACCTCAACTGAATGGTTCGAATTACATTTCGTGGTCAAGATCCATGGAAAGAGCTCTTGGAGCTAAGAACAAGATTGCGTTCATCAACGGATCCATTCGCGTTCCAAGTATCAACGGTCTTAATCGCTCTGCGTGAGAACGATGCAATTGCCTTGTTCACTCATGGATTCTCAATTCTGTAAGTCCTGCTATCGCACAAACAATTATTTTCTTGGAAAATGCTCTTGATGTTTAGATTGATCTCAAAGAAAGATTTGCCAAAACTGATAGAATTCGTGTATCCAATTTGCGTGCTGAAATTAACAATCTCAAACAAGGCAACAAATCAGTTCTTGATTATTTCACTGAGCTTCGTGGATTATGGGAAAAATTGAATTCTCATAGACCAATTCCTACATGTACTTGTATTCAACAGTGCATATGTGATGCTATGCGTAGTGCTAGAGAATTTCGTCTTGAAGATCAGATTATACAATTCCTAACAGGATTGAATGAAATTTTTTTTGTTATTAAAACTCAGGTTTTGCTACTTGATCCTTTACCATCCATTAACAAAGTGTACTCTATGGTTATTCAAGAAGAGAGTAATACCATTTCTTTGATGAGTCAACCTGATTCTAATTCTACCATCAATGAAGCCAATAGCCTTGTTAATGCCTATGATTCAAGGAAGTTTGCTGGTAAATCTTCCAATTCTTATGGTGGAGCATCTAACAAGAAAGATGGTAGAGTATGCACTTTTTGCCACAGGACTGGCCATACAATTGATGTCTGTTATCGCAAACATGGATTTCCTCCTAATTTTACCAAAAAGCCAGCATCTGCAAATGCTTCTACTGTTGTTGATACACAGGCTGTAATGAACAATGGATCAGAAAGTTCTCACAACAATTCAAGTGCCAGCAACACTCAAGAACAGTATGCTCAATTGATTGGTTTGTTACAACAAACAAATTTGTTGCCTCCTAACCCTACCCCAAATCAAACTGCCAACCATATTTCCACTCATACACCAAATGATAATTTAGGTAAAAGTTTTGTTTCTACAGTCTCATGTTCCACTTACATAAAACATGATTTTTGGATTTTGGATTCTGGTGCCAATGATCATGTTTGTTCATCTCTTAAATTATTCAGTAGTTATCACAAAATTCAGCCTGTCAATGGATCTGTTCTTCTAGCTAAACATGCAGGAACAATTCAGTTTTCCCCTCACTTACAGCTTAATAATGTGTTGTACACACCTGATTTTTCCCTAAACCTTGTGTCTGTTTCCAAACTCTGTCATTCCACTAATTACAATATTATCTTTTCTGCTAATGATTGTTTCATTCAGGATGTGCAAACGAAGAAGATGATTGGTTTGGCTAATCAAGTGGAAGGGTTGTATAGACTCAGGACAGATACTCATCCCTGGCCTACAAACACCAACATTTCAAGTATTTCTTCATCCAAATCACATGTAGCAACTTCAATTCCCAATAACTGTAAAATGATCCCTAAACAAGCTTTGTGGCATTTTAGATTGGGTCATTTATCACATGATAGACTTTCCAAAATGGCTCAAATGTATCCTGATATTTTCAGTGACAATAAAGTTGTTTGTGATGTGTGTCACTATGCTAGACATAAGAAATTACCTTACACTTTGAGTCATTCTAAAGCTTCTCAAAATTTTGAATTGTTGCATTTTGATATATGGGGCCCTATCTCCACAAATTCCATCCATCGTCACAAATATTTTTTGACAGTAGTTGATGATCACAGTCGTTTTACTTGGATCATATTACTTAAACACAAATCTGAAGTTTCTGCACATGTTCAACAATTCGTTGCTCTTATAGAAAATCAGTTCCATACATGTCCTAAGTTTATCAGGTTTGACAATGGCCCTGAATTTCACTTAACTCAATTTTATGCTTCAAAGGGTATTGTCCATCAAAGATCCTGTGTTGAGTCCCCTCAAAAAAATGCAAGGGTCAAAAGGAAGCATCAATACTTACTTAATGTAGGTAGAGCCTTACTGTACCATTCCAATTTACCTAAATCATATTGGTCATATGCTGTTAGTTATGCAGCTTTTATTATAAATAGAGTTAACATTCCTTTACTCAACAACCAGTCCCCTTATCACATACTGCATAATAAACCACCAGACATTACCCAGCTTAAAGTCTTTGGCTCTTTATGCTATGCGTCTACCTTGTCCAATCAAAGAACTAAATTAGATACAAGAGCTAGAAAATCAGTGTTTCTTGGTTATGTCGTTGGATATAAAGGCTCTATCTTACTTGACCTAAATTCCTTCAACATTTTCATCTCAAGAAATGTTACTTACCATGAACAAATTTTACCTTACCAACAACAATATTCATCTACCACAACTCCTTGGGAATATTACAATACCCCAGCCCCCAATCACACTTTAGTTTCCAATCCTTGTCATGACATATCTCATTCTGCTCAATATGATATTCCAATTAACCAACCCAACCTTCCAAATACCACAATCACACCTGACCCAATTCAACCTTCCAGTTCCCTTACTGATCATAATCCATCCACCTCTAATACACAACATCCCACTCGTGCCTCTACAAGAGTTAGAACCTCACCATCCTTTTTGAAAGATTATGTCTGTACAACCTTCACTGATCCACAATGCCAATCATCTTTAGGTAATCCTCACTCTCTTTCCAACTTTATTTTTTATAGTAATTTGTCTCCTGCTCATCATTGTTTCACTCTTTCCCTTACTATTAATCATGAACCTAAAACTTACTCCGAGGCTAGCAAATTTGAATGTTGGAATCAGGCCATGAAGGTTGAACTTGCTGCACTTGAGCAAACTGGAACTTGGAAAATTGTGGATCTTCCACCTCATGTCAAGCCTATTGGTTGTCGTTGGGTTTACAAGATCAAGCATAAACCTGATGGAACCATAGAAAGATTTAAAGCTCGACTTGTTGCTAAAGGATACAACCAGATTGAAGGACTTGATTATTCAGATACTTTTTCATCTGTTGCAAAGCTTACCACAGTTCGCTTGGTTCTGGCCTTAGCTTCAATCCATAACTGGCATCTTCACCAACTCGATGTGAATAACACATTTCTTCATGGTGATCTGCATGAAGATGTCTACATGTTGATTCCACCAAGTATCCAAACTTCCAAACCTAACCAGGTTTGCAAACTCATTAAATCCCTTTATGGACTAAAGCAGACAAGTAGACAATGGTTTGATAAATTGACTTCAGTCCTCACTGCTCATGGCTATTCTCAAGCATCTTCTGATCATTCCTTATTTGTTAAACAAACACCATCCACTTTTACAATTTTACTTGTTTATGTTGATGATGTCATTTTAGAAGGTAACTCTCTACTTTCAAAATGTGAAAACTCATCTTCATCAGCTTTTCAAGATCAAGGACTTGGGCATTCTCAAATACTTTTTGGGTTTAGAAGTGGCTCACTCAAAACGTAGTATCTCCATCTGCCAAAGAAAATACTGTCTTGATCTTCTCAAAGATTCAGGTTTTCTTGGCTCCAAACCAGCTACCACACCATCTGATCCATCCTTTAAACTTTGCCAAGATGACAACCCTGCATATCATGATATTCCTTCTTATAGACGACTCATTGGAAGATTGATCTACCTCAACACTACACATCCAGATATCACATTTATCACACAATAACTCAGTCAATATCTCTCCAACCCTTCTACTCAACATTATAATGCTGCTTGCAGAGTTTTGCGATACCTCAAACAATGTCCAGGCCAAGGCTTGTTTTTTCCACGAAGTTCATCACTCCAACTCACGGGAT